GCTGGTTCCTGAACACTTCAATTTAAAAAAAACTGGTTTGTGGACTTGATCCTGATTTTTTGGTAAACTTGTATTTTGAGCATGTTTTGAGATTTTTTAAATTTTATATTGTTGAGCTTAAACAATTTTTTAAATTCGCTATGTCACATGCAAACTGTAGACAATATAAACAGTTTTATAAGTGCCACAAAAGTAATGGTATCTGGCCTCCACCATGTGCAATAACTACAAGCTATATAGCATCTGCATTTACTTAGAAAAACCTGATACAATACAGCCTGGGTAATTTTAAAAAGGAGAACCTCCTGAGACACTTGATGATACATGAATTATGAAACTGATTGTTTGATTACAACTAGGCAAAGCAATCAAGTATAAGCTACACACTATCAATATAGCCCATTATATTTACTGTATCTCTGTAAGACACTTTATTAATTAATTACTTGAGGTGTTTGATGGTTCTTTAGTTTGATGTGATTCCACATTTATTATTAGTCTATCCAACTGTTCCTTTATCTCTTGATGAATAACCTGTTCATCCTCTTCTCTTTTATCTATTGTCTGTTCACTAGATATTTCCTGGTCCAGTTTCAATGTATCTCTTTTATAATCTATCAGTGACACTGTACATTACTAATAAATTATTAATCAATTGTACCTTTTATTTTATGCATCAATTCTTCGTTCTTTTCTCTTTTATTTAGTATATGTACACTCAATAATGATATCTGTTCTTGTAGCTCAGCTATTTCTCTCTTAATATCTATTAATGATTCATTCTGATCCAATAAACCTATAATAGTATAATTATGATACATTAACACATACATTATGATATGGTACCAGTTTTATTTGTTAATATTTGTTCTATTTCCATTCTCATTCCTTTTATGATTTTGTATGATGCTGCAATAATAATACCAATAAATAATAATAAAATACTAAATTATTTCTGACCTGAAGTAAAATCTGTACAACATTTAATGTGATATTCTTTTTTCATTCCTAAAAAATAGTACAATCAACTTTTTACATCATATGAAGGTGACAAGTTGATCACTCAATAGTCATGTCAATAACTACTATCACATTTTGGATTTTATTTACATTGTACATGATATTTCACCAATGTTAGGTACTATTTAGTATGTCATATTGTGTATAATTACTTT